CCGGCTAGTTTTTTGTATTTTTTAGTAGAGACAGGGTTTCACCGGGTTAGCCAGGATGGTCTCGATCTCATGACCTAGTGATCCGCCCGTCTCGGCCTCCCAAAGTGCTGAGATTACAGGCTTGAGCCACTGCGCCCGGCCTAAAATGTTTTCTCTTTACACTTAAAATGACAAACTCTTACTCCTGAGCCACGTGTAATTTGGCTCCCATCAGTCTCTCCAGCTTCACCTGCCTCCTTCACACTTTAGCCGTGCTTACCTTTTTGTTCCTCAAGCTCACCTCTAGAGGATTTGCATCTTAGAGGATTTCTTCTGCCTGGAATACATGTTTCCCAATCTTTATAAGACTATCTCCTTATCTACAGCTTTCCCCTCAGATGTGGCATCTAAGAGAGGTTTTCCTTGACCACTGTAGCCAAAGCAAATGTTGATCATTGAATGAATAAGTGAATGAATGAATGGAGTTGTATATAATGTAGCAGAATTGATCATTTAAGGCTAATTTATTACGTATCTCCAAGCAAATAAATTTGTAATGGTTTTCCTGCCTAAAATCTATACAGCTGATTCACAGATATTTGGTTGACAGGTTTTATATATCAATGTAGGTCATCAGCTTATATGTTGTTGGGGGCCAGAATCTATACTTACACTTCATTCAAATTTGATTTTACAAAAGTTGGGTTTTTAAATTTTTATTAAGAGTGCTGTGAAATTATTACCTATAATTCTAAATCTCAATTCCTCCCAATAGGATTCAAGATGGATTGGCATCAAAGTTCACTTCTTTAACAAAAGTGCTTTATGACTTTAATAAAATATTAGAGAATGGTAGGATCCATGGAAGCCGCTTGCAAAAACTTGTGATAGAAAATTTTGATGATGAGCAGATTTGGCAACAACTGGAATTGCAAAATGAACCAATTTTACAATACTTTCAGAATGCAGTTAGTGAAACAATTAATGATGAAGACATCAGTCTTCTCCCAGAGAGTGAAGAACAGGAACGTGAAGAGGATGGTTCAGAGATAGAGGCTGATGACCAGGAGGACCTAGAAGATTTAGAAGAGGAGGAAGAAGTGTCAGACACGGGTGATGATGATCCTGAAGTGGGTGAGAGAACTAAAAACTCGAGCAAATCTGGTCTGAGGAAAAGCCCAGTTTTCAGTGATGAGGATTCTGACCTTGACTTTGATATCAGCAAATTGGAACAGCAGAGCAAGGTGCAACACAAAGGACATGGAAAACCTAGAGAAAAGTCCGTAGTAGATGATAAATTCTTCAAACTCTCCGAAATGGAGGCCTATTTAGAAAACATAGAAAAAGAAGAGGAACGAAAAGATGATAATGATGAGGAGGAAGATATTGATTTTTTTGAAGATATTGATTCTGATGAAGATGAAGGGGGACTGTTTGGAAGTAAAAAACTTAAGGTAAAGTTTTGAGAGAGGAGAGAACACTTTCCTCCTCAAATTAGCTTTCGTTCTCTTTTTCTAGGGGAGATTTAATTGTAGTTAGAAGTTTTAGTGATAAGAAATATTGTGCTCTATCTTATCAGTTACAAATGAATCTTCTTCCGTTCAATTTATGTTCCAGTTGGTCTTATAGTTTTGTGGTAGTGTTATTAGTTGCCATTTTCATCTAATCACTATTTAGTTATTAGTTTAGTTATTAGTTATTAGCTCATAGTGTTATTAAGTCAGAAAGTAATATATACATACAAATCTATGTGCATGTGTTAATATATTTTTCTGTTCCTAATTAATAGTTTTAAAAATCTTTTTAGTCAGGTAAAAGTTCCAGAAATCTGAAATACAAAGATTTTTTTGATCCAGTTGAAAGTGATGAAGACACAACAAGTGTTCATGATGATGAGCTGGATTCAAACAAAGATGATGATGAAATTGCTGAAGAGGAAACAGAAGAACTAAATATTTCGGAAACGTGAGTATTTTGAACCATCCTTTATATTGTAGGCTGGAATTGCCCAATCATGTATGTGTACTCGTAGTTATCAAATGTGTCTGTCTTAAGAAGTTGGATTCTCTAATATCAGATATTCTCAAGATAGCCAGAGGAAAGTCTCTGAATGTAAAGGGACATTAGATATCACTTAATGAAGAAAAATATCACTGGTAGTAGCAATCAAACCTTCCTTACCAGGAACTTTGATTTGGTTTTGTGTCAATAAAATCCTGTTATTTTTGTGAGATAAGAGATTTGTATTGTAGATTGATGAATAATTTATTTTATATATGTTGGACACTTTTTGTTCTGTTTCTTTTTTTTTTTTTTGAGACGGAGTCTTGCTCTGTCACCCAGGCTGGAGTGCAGTGGCGCAATCTCCACTCACTGCAAGCTCCGCCTCCCGGGTTCACGCCATTCTCCTGCCTCAGCCTCCCATGTAGCTGGGACTACAGGCGCCCGCCACCACGCCCGGCTAATTTTTGTATTTTTAGTAGAGGCGGGGTTTCACCATGTTAGCCAGGATGGTCTCGATCTCCTGACCTCGTGGTCCGCCCGTCTCTGCCTCCCAAAGTGCTGGGATTACAGGCGTGAGCCACCGCCCCCGGCCTTTTTCATTTCTTTCATACGGTATACGTTAAAAAGTAGTTAATTATTTAGATAGCATACTGTTAGACTGTATTACAAAGTTCATGTTTAATGCAGAAAAAGACATTTGTAGCATCTTGTCCCTTGAAAAAGAGATACACACAATTTCTTGTGAATTTCTTTTGAATTAATTATGTAATAAA